TAAAATCATTCCAGTAAGTGTTTCCCTTTGTCTGTCTGAAAGATGGGAAAATGTGGTTAAAGCTGAATTTAACTCAACTAGACTTCCCCAGGATTGAAAGGCTGGTGAACACTACAGGTGACTCAGACACTGACCAAAGAATATTCAACAAACTAAAGAAAAAAAAAGTCAATAAACTTTAATATGTCCCCAGAAGGTTTGCATATGTCCTCAGAAGGTTTACAGATATTTTCCTTTCATTTTCTGCAGGGACTAAAAGAGCTAAGAGAGAGTGTCAGATTTCTGATTGACAACATACAACTGAAAGAGGTTTATGTAAAAGCCAAAAATAAAAAAGAGGGACATTTGCATTGGATGCCCACTATGGCAATTGGATGATATTGTGAGCAGAGGGAGGAGTAGAATATAAGTCTTAAACACTGTATGTGTGATACACTGATATGGAACAAAACAGAAGAATTTGGATTTTTATGATTTATATCTTTATCTCAATTAGGACTATGAAAGATACATTTAGTTAGTGGTAGAGTAATTGTGAGACATGGATGACTCTACAGTGCCCACAAACAGATAAGACAGAGAGGAAAAAGCATGATAAGGTAATGTCCTCATATCTTAAATTTTTTTTCTCAACAGCAGTTACCTTCCACATAAACACAATTTTAAAAATTTAGTCAGCACTTAGGTTTATGATTATTATTTCTAAACAACTAAATTGTAAATACAAAAAATATTGGCCATGTTTCCACATAAAACAAACTAACAAAAACTTCACTGATATCTCTTAATTTCTGATTGTGATAGCTTTAAGAAATATAATTTTGCAAAACAAATGAAAATCTGAACATAAGAATTGGGATACACCAAAAAAGAGAGAGGGTGGGGAGAAGAGAGAGAGAGAGAGAGAGAGAGAGAGAGAGAGCAGAGAGAAGAGAGAGAGAGAGAAACTTTTGAGAACCATAAAGATAAAAACTAAACTTAGCCACAAATTTATTTCTGTTTTTTATCTAAGTATCCAGGGAGGTTGGTAATGGGAGGTATGCCTCAGAAAATGTATGTGTCTGTGAAAATGTTGGAACAAACTAATGCTTTTATTCAAGTGATTTTATTTCAATTTTAAGCCACAAGATATAAACTTTCATCAAAAATGGTAATCTATTTAAAAACAGAGCTATGTGGAATTTTTCATGTTTATGTATAACTTTCACAGTAGACCCTCCTACACCAGAAAAATAAAATGCCCAAATTGTGTTATTTTTACAGTTTTTAATATATCAAGTACTATTTCCACCCATCAGTTTCATATCCTTTAAGTAGATAAAAATGAAAAAGGAATGGAAGAAAAAATGAAGATACTTTGAAAAAGTGACTTTTTAATTCTTTTTTTCTTGAAAGGAAAGATATCTGGAAAACTTAATTATCATGCATATTATAATAAGAGCAAAAAGGAACTTAAAGGAAAATTTGCATTGAACACTCTGAGTACTCCATTTTTCTGCTTTGCTTTGCACAAAGCTAAAGTACTTGAGAATGAGCAGGGAAGTAGAAGGAGAAAGAGTGGTGGGTGGTAATAAAGCAGGAAAAACTCATAGATTTGATCTAAAAATGTTGCAGTGATATGTTAACCTGATATTGAGTAAAAAAAAGCCAAATCAGCCCTAGCTGGTTGGCTCAGTGGATAGAGTGTTGGCCTACGGACTTGAAGGGTCCTGGGTTTGATTCCGGTCAAGGGCACATGCCCTGGTTATGGGCTCCATCCCAGGGAGGCCCAAGCAGGAGACAGCCCAGTGATGATTCTCTCTCATTATTGATGTTTCTCTCTTTCTCTCCCTCTTCCTTCCATTCTGAAATAAATAAAAATATATTTTAAAAAATAAGTAAAATACATATCTTTTTAAAAAAAGACAAATCAGAAGACATTTGTATTTAATTTCCCCCCAGTGATAACAACAAATCATTTCTATTTACTGAACACAATAAATCAATAGGAAGATAGCATCATTAAAAATAAAAAGAAGATGAGTTCTGACATTTTTTTTCACCTGAGAAGGAAAGGTTGTCATCAACTCAAGTACTTACTATGAAAATTCAGTTACTTAAAATGCAGAACACTGATAGAAAAGCAGTGTAAGACATAACCATGTCACCTCTAAAGAGAGAAACTTTAAATTATTAAGGCTTCTTTTTGCTAAAGTACTGGAGATCTCTCAAACAGGAACTTGGAAACAATGTTGAAACCAACATTTTATAATTTGAATATAAGAATTAGCAAACAAAAATAGGCTGTGAACACAAATATGTGGTAGATATACATACATGTCTACTTAATGTTTAGAGGAAGGACCTTATACTATTTCAGAACATTTGGAAACAAAAAAAGTTCCAAAAACCATATTGTCAGGCTTCCTCAGAAGAAATGCTTCTGGAATTCAAGGAGAAAATAATCCTATCTAATAATAGACAAACATGGTAATTGACCATACCTTCGCTACGCCTCCCATTGGCTAGTCAGCACAATATGCAAATTAACTGCCAACAAAGATGGCGGCTAATTTGCATACTGCAGGCAGGGCGGGACAGCGCCATCCCACCTGTCCTGCCGCCATCCAGGCCTGCAATCTGCGACCTGGGGTGGCGGGCGTCTGTGTGCGACCTGACTCGAGGCGGCCGGGCAGGGCAACAGCGATCGGCCGGCCCAGCCGGGCGTCCCATGTGTGACCCAACCCAGGGCAGCCGGGTGGGGCAGCAGCGATAGGCCGGCCCGGCCGGCCCGCCCCGGCGTCCCGTGTGCCACCTGACCCGGAGCGGCCGGGCGGGGCAGCAGCAATCGACTGGCCCGCCCTGGCATCCCATGTGCCACCCGACCCGGGGCAGCACCCCAACCCGCGGATCAGCCCTGCCATGTGCATGACCCAGGGAGGTGGGGCAGGCACCCAGGGATCGGGCCTGCCATCTGCCACCTGGGGAGCGGGCCTAAGCCAGCAGGTGGTTATCTCCCGAGGGGTCCCAGACTGTGAGAGGGCACAAGTGGGGCTGAGGGACACCCCCCCAACCTCCCCTCCCCCGCCAGTGCACAAATTTTTGTGCACCAGGCCTCTAGTGTATTTAAATAAAGTTATATCAAGCTACTGTTAATATTATTACTGTTATTCAAGTTTTCCAAATTCAGGGAGTAATTAATGATTCCTACAAAAGTGAAAGCACCTAAGATCACACAATGGATCACACTTCTGCCCACATTCTGAAACTTATCCAGAAGAAATTTGCTGAACAAAATGTAGGTTTTTGATATCAGATACATTTAGAAGTTATGAAATTCTGGAGAAAAACGTAGGACCATCCAAAATAAAATACTCTATTTGCAATACTAGTAGTAGAGATGTTTTATAATTTTAACAAAGAAAGTGCATTTTGAGCACCTACTATTAGAAATGACCAGCAAATGAGTGTACTATACATGAGGTGTGGCTAAATTGAATGGTTTATAAGGACATATAATGCCTTAAATGGGAATGTTTCTCAAGAATGTGCCACATAATGATTTGCAAAATTACCAGATAGCAGTAATAAGTTATTTATAAATATATAAATTCTATAATATTTTCATATATATTCATATATTCTTTGAATCAGACTTCAATCAAAACTTGGTTGACCTCAAGTTTCTTTATAATTATTTCAGTTAAGTATATCATCATGTACAGACAGCTCTCTTAAAACATCCTAATTTTCCTGATATCCATGCAAGACAACTGAACAATTTGGATCCAGAATTTCCTAAATCATAAGTCTCAGTCAGCATAATCTGATTTGGGATAATAACATATTTCTGTGCCTAATGCTTCACTGAGAAGAGCAGTTAAGCAAAAGACAGGTGATGAAATTTCTTCTGCACTCCCCTCCCTCCCCCCCATCTTCATAACCAGGTTGAACATGATAGATTGGCTAGCTTATTGATTTAGGAATTATCAGCAATATTACTTCCCCTAAAGGAATATTAAGATGATTTATAACAGATTTGAAACCTGATTTCTAGCTTCCTGTGTAACTATGTACAAATTTATAAGTTAGACTCTCTTCAAATTCCTATCTCAGATATCTGTTTATGCACGCAGGGATTTCAACTTTATAGTTCCCTAAGCATTTAATGCCTGTCTTTATACATATACATTTATATTGTTGGAGAAATAATAAATTGAAATCAAATATTGTACTTTATTGAGGGCTTAAATCCATGTTAAAATATTACCCATATTTACCACTAACTGTGGTTTTTTTAGAGTTACTTAAAACAATCTGTGTCTGTGTTTCTAACACTTATGAAAAGAGGGTAATATAACTGACCTCTTAAGGTTTGGATGAGAATAATATATATTAATGAATGCAAAACACTTAGACTAGTGCCTGGCAAATAATAAGTACTCAAGAAATAATAGCAGACAATATTATCATATCATTTATCAATTTGAATTTTGTTTATACCATGGAACTAATGGTTTCCTTCAAGGGTGAAATGTGTGTGCTCAATAACTGGTTATTTCTGTTTCAATTTCTTCTCATTAAAATTTGTTTACCAAACTTCAGTCATGCACTTATTATGTTTGTGGTGTTTTTCCAGATTTCATATAGTTAAATAACTATGTCAATGAAAAATATTTTGTCATTAATATATGTCATCATTTTTTCTCCTAAACCTCAAGACATAGACATCTTCCTAGGTTCAAAATGAAGAACATAGACCCCACAACTTGTAGGAAGTTACATGGTAGACAGAGAATGTAGAATATGAAATATTGCAGCCAACCATCTTTGAGTACACATTTTATTCAAATTAGTCAGTCTCAAAAGATTTACTTCCTATGTTATATTTAATTTATTTACCTTCTTGAATGAATCTGAATATGGTTGTTTTGTACATTCACTAATTTATATTCTTTGAAATCATTTGTCGCTTTTTAAAAGGAAAACTATAATAGCATTAAATGTCAATACTTTTGCAGATATCCCGACACAGAAGGAATCATTCACAGCATGTCTTGAACGATGTTATTCCTCCATTGGAACAATTGGTAAGTGATTCCTTCACTCCAAGACTGTATTCTTTACCTACTTCTACAAAGTGAATTTACCCCAAAACTCAGCAACTTAAAACAGCACACGTTATTACCTCATGTTTTTGTGAGTCAGGAACCTAGCAGAGTCCCCTAACTCAGAAGATCTCAAAAGGTTACAATCAGATTTTGAGCCAGAATTGGGGTCACATCTGAAGGCTTGGCTCATGTACATGGTTATTGGCCGGTTCGGTTCCTCCAGGGCTGTTGGTCAGAGAACTCTCAGTTACCTGCCACATGGGTTTCTCCAGCAGGACAGCTTGCTTTTTCAAAGCACACAGCAAGCTGAGCAGGCAAGAGAGTCTACTAACAAGACAGAAGTCAAAATCTCTTGTAATCTAACGGTGGAAATTATATCCTCTCAACTTTGCCACATTATTTTGGTCAGAAGCAAATTATTAAATGGAGTCTACACTCAAGGGGAAGGAATTACATAAGGCTATGAATTGTAGGAATCAGAGACTGTGGGGGCCTATGGCACATTTTAACAGTTTTTTAAGGAAAGATTCATCTCTTACTATTAGATTCTATGTCTACCAGAGTAGGTTTTTGTTTTTCACTTTTATTTATTGTCCAAATGACTAGAAAAGTTCATGCAACATTAAAAAACAATAAATGAATGAAAAAGATATTTAAAAAATATATGTCCACATTTCTGATATATTTTGATGCTTTTTCTGTTAATGACCTCATTTTTGATAAATACAATGCCTTTTTTCTTCAGGCTCATACTTCTTGCTGTATTTCACATTGGTCAACATGCTACCAATCTATTGGCTCACAGGATGCTACACAGTGATGACTTTATCCCTATTTATCTCCTGCTATTCCATTACTGTTAACTGGGATTTCTAATTTTTAACACTAAAATATGTATTTTCTTGGTTTAGTCTTATTTTCTTTTGCTTTGCATGTTCTAGATCTCTCGACTTCACTCTAGCAGTCTAGCTAATGCCTCCATTACTCTCCTCTGGTTTAGAATAAAAATTCCCTTTAAGAATTGTCTACCTTTACTCCTGTTAATTTCTCCCCTCTTTATCTCTTGAACCAACTCCATTTAGGCTTTTATCCCAACAACTCACCCTCTATCAAGGTCATCAGTTGCTTTCATTTTGCTTAAATTCATCCCTAAAGTTTCAGGTTTTCTCCTTAGTAAACCTACCTGAATATTAAACCCAATTGATAACTCTCTTTTTTGGAGGCAATATTTTCTTCACTTGGCTAGTAAACTGCTTTCCAGTACTGTATATTGTGACATTTTCACTTATATGTTTAACATACATCTCAAATTGAACATATCCTAAACTGATTCTGATTTTCTCCTACACCTAATGTTCTCCATTTTATAATGTGCTAATATTATTTTCCAGATGCTTCTGTCAAAACTCATAAAGTCATCTTTGACTTCTTTGTTTCTCTTACAAGATAAACTTAAACATCAAATAACCCTGTTAGCTCTATCTTTAAAATCAGTTCACTTCTCATCACTGATGTGCCCACTTTCATCCTTGCTCTCTACTTTTTATTTTCAACACAACAGCCAAAGTGACCTTATTAAGATACAAGTTACATCATGTCACTCCTTGTCTCAAATTTCTCTGGCTTCCCATAACTCCTAGGGTAAAAGCTGAACAACATCCAGTGGTTCATCTGATCCTACTGGTCCCAGCCAGCCAGTTAGCCTCATCATTTTCTTCTTTCTCCCAGCTCATTCGGCTCCAGCCAAACTGACCACCTTACTTCTTCCACAGGGCCATTAAAACTATTTTATCCTCTGCCTGATATAAAATAATTCATTTGATGCCTAGAAATTTGTAAGGCTTATTACTTCATTTGCTTTGTATCTCGATTCAGATATTACCTTTTATTTATTTAAGTTCTCTCTCTCTCTCTCTCTCTCTCTCTCTCTATATATATATATATATATATATTATTGATTTTTTACAGAGAGGAAGGGAGAGGGATAGAGAGTCAGAGACATCAATGAGAGAGAAACATCAATCAGCTGCCCCCTGCACACTCCCCACTGGGGATGTGCCAGCAACCAAGGTACATGCCCTTGACCGGAATCAAACCCGGGACCCTTCAGTCTACAGGCCGACGCTCTATCCACTGAGCCAAACTGGCCAGGGCAAGTTCTCTATTTTTTAAAAAAAATATTTTTATTGATTTCAGAGAGGAAAGGAGAGGGAGAGATAGAGAAACATCAGTGATGAAAGAGAATCATTGATCGGCTGCCTCCTGCACGCCCCCTACTGGGCATCGAGCCCACAACCCAGGCATGTGCCCTTGATTAGAATCGAACCTGGGACCCTTCAGTCCACAGGCCAACGCTCTATCCCCTGAGCCAAACCAGCTAGGGCTAAGTTCTCTATTTTTTAAAGTATTACATAAGTTCTCCTTTTTCCCCCATTGACCTCTCCCCGGCCGCTCCCACCCCCGAGCACATGCCCTCACCCCCCTACTGTCTGTGTCCATTGGTTATGCTCACATGCATGCATATAAGTCCTGTGGTTGATCTCTTGCCCCCATCTCCTGCCTTCCCTCTTAGGTTGGTCTGTCCAATACTTCTATGTCTCTGGTTCTATTTTTGTTCATCAGTTTATGTTGTTCATTATATTTCACAAAGGAGTGAGATCATGTGATATTTATTCTCTGACTTGCTTATTTAGCTTAGCATAATGCTCTCCAGGTCCATCCATGCTGTTGCAAATGATAAATTCCACCTTTTAAGGTAGGTGTTTCCTAATCTCTCTTAAAAACAAGCAAACAATCCTTCCTCACCATTTCCATTCACAATCCTTTTCTCCGACCCTAATTTAATGTTCCCCATAGAACTTACAAACATGTAGCATACTATATATTTTTTGTTTTTTATCTCATCAGAATATTCTATGAGAGCAAGGGTACTGTCTCCTATTTTCATAACTCTGTTTCCATTATTATAACAATTGCTATTACATGGAAGAACTCAGTAAATATATGTTAAATGAGCACACAAATGAGATAGTTAATGGCTTTGGTTTTTACTTCCAGGCCTACATAATACACAGGTCTATCCTTGTACATTCTCTTCATTATCTCATCCTATATCTTGAAGTTCGAATTAATCATTTGTTCTGGTATGTCTCTGTGTCATCTCAGAAGTGAAATCTCCCAAGCTGATTCCCCTTTGCACTGAGCTCATCTGCATTAGTAGTAAACATTTATCTAGGCTTAGAACACATTTTCTTTGGCTCCTTTATTTTCTCTATGACCTTTCAGCATTTTCTGAAGCAGTTTCTTCACAATGGATGTGGTGCCCACATTTTTCTTAATGTGTACAGTCAAACACTTGCCCAGACCTCCCAATGCCTCTGATCTCAATCCCTCTACTGTCCCCTGTACCCAGTGCTACATAAGATCATTGACCTCCCACACCAACCTTCTTTAAACAGTACCTTTATTATTTCATTCTTCTTGTCAAAACATTCAACAGCTTCCTATATTCTATAACACTAAGTCTATAGGCCTCTTTCATGGTCCCCGATTTACCTTATTTATTATCTACTCCCAAATACATACCCTTAGGCCAGCAATAGTAACATGATTAAGACTTGGCTCTAACTCTGAAGGAGCTTAAATTTTCTGTAACAATTATTTCTTCATCCCAGCACTCTTTTGTTGTTCACTCTTATTTCATGGGTAATAGGCTTGTTTCATGGCTAGACTATAAATGTTTTGAAGTTAGGGGTCACGACTTCTATTTTCTTTCTTATATAATACTTCACTTTATATTGCTTTTGGCACCAGTTTTTGTTCAAAAAAGACATGCTTGTCAATTGATTTAATATTAAGATATTAAAGGTTTATTAAATATTGTTGATTTCAAATATTAATGAATATATGACTGCTTTTCATGGTGAAAGCCAATTTTTCAATGTAATTACATGTAACAGTATCTTATTTTAATAATTAATTACTCAGATATCAACTAAGATAACATTTCCCCACCATTTTCCCCCTCCACCTCACACCTACCCCACAACTCTTATTTATGAATCACTCCATCATGATGGGCAATGCCAGAATAGCCACCAATTCCCCCAAACAGCAAATTCTGATTACTTTTTAACTACTATGATTTACACCAAGACTTGAATTATCCCAGAATCTATGAAGTCTTCTTTACATCTGACTAATCTAACTTATATATGTATATGTATATTTGACCTAGATCTACATATTTTTCCACAAATCTGGCATCTTCCTTACTTCCAGCCCTATAATTCTCCTGCTTTCCCTCATGCCTCAGTGTTGCTTCTGAAGTCATGCACAGGTTTTGGCAGTAGTTTCCCTTGGCAGTAACTACCAGAATGAGCTACCACAAATGAGATAACATACATTAAAACTGTTTATAAAGTAATGAAATCCTTTAAGTTGGTGTTATTACTCATTATTTTCATGATGTCGATTTTTGAGATTATTTATGTCCAACATTTGGTGCTATATAAATCTTTTTTCATCTCTTATATTCAGAACATTTTTGAACGTTTTCCAGGGATCATGAGAGGCTTTCGCTTTAAGCATAACTGGCAAAATCATTCCATTAGATCCATCCCCTTTGGAGGAAAATGATTTATTTTACAAAAGTGGCATCTGCCATCATGGGGGCTCTAAAAGATGCTATCATCCTTTGGTGGCCATGCTTTACCTCCGAATGTTTTCTTTAATAAAGTAGATTGTGATCAATGTGGTTAAATAGAAGCATAATGTGTTTCTTTCAAATATTGACAAAAGAATAAATTCTTAATTAGAATCTCATGGTGGAAACTACCCCATTCACTGACTGGTGACATCATTTCTGCCGCCTGGTATTCAAATCCATGTGCCACCAATACAAGAGCCCAAAATTCTTTTCTGAGAATCTATATGGATGCTTAGCAGGCACTATAATGCATTAACAATTTTAAACATGA